TATGTGTAAAATTCCAGTATACCCCTAAATTTGTTTCTAGGAGGTATTTTCACATGTTGTCTTTTCAGAAAATATAATACTTAACCAATTACAACTAAGAAGACTCAGTCATAACTCATTACTTTATTTACAAAAAAAAAAACTACCACAAAGTCTCAGTCCCAGTGCTTTAAGTTCCATTCAGCACTGACTTCACTTCTTCAATAGATCTCAGCTGGGTTCCTTCACTCTTTTAACTGAAAGTTGAAAAAGAAAAATGACATTTTACCACTTTCATGTTGTACATTTTCCAAGTTACCTACAAATTTGATACACCAAATACTTATACTAACTAAACAAGAGTAGCAAACAAAATGGCTATTCCGTAAACAAAACTGACAATCTTCCAGCCCAACCAATAAAGTAAATGAATAGAGAATTGTAACTAATTTTAAATATCTTAATTAGTTATGGAACAGCTACTTGCTTAAACAGCTTTTATTCCTTGAATCGTGGTCCCTAGAAGTTTGGCGTTAGTAAGGTTTTACTGTATTTATAGCATAATAAGCTTGAGCCTACACACAATCTCAGACTCATAAGTAGATACAAGGAGGTAGGTTCATTACAGACCAACACTAAGGCTTTTTTCATGACTTTTTAGGCAAAATCCAAGATGGTTATGAGTCTTGCTGTTTTAGGTCTTCTGATTTATATCACAAAATTGATGATTAAACATGAAAATCAGTTATCAATGAAAACTTACATAGGAAATAGGAAGATTTATGCGCTATAGTTATTTCTCCAGAAATAGCAATAGCAAGATTTGATTTAGATTAGAAAAACTCACCCCGTGATGAGATTTGGACAGATATTAATGTAAAATATGTTATATAATGCATCTCTTACCTTGGTAAGTTTTAAAGAAGCGATGGTAATCATCTCCTTTGGGGTCAAAGAAGTAATGTTTCACACCTCCGACAACAGGACCTGTATGTAGATAAAGTTACATGTCATTAGTAAAACAAGTGAACAAAATCACAACTGAAATTCAATAATGACAAGGACTTGTAAAGGGTGGCATTGTACCCCATGCCTAGCTGTTGGCATGAAAATCAAACCAGACAGTTATACCTTGTTAGTAGGTTTTTATCTTTTTATTTCTATGTAGATCCTCTGTGTCTTTCACTCTTGGTGTTTTATTATTAGATATATATTTTAGCTGTGTTATCAAAACTTTGGAGCAAAATGATAACTATTAGCATTAATATTATTTACTAGCAAAATATGCAGACGAGGCAATAGCTTCATTAAGTTTTGAAAAGATTTGGAGATCACAGTTTAAGAAGTGCTGCCCCCAAAAAGCTTGTAGACAAGGAATTATGTATTTCTGGCAATATGTATCTATAGAAACAGAGAAAATATCAGTGAAATATTAAAAAAGAATCATGTTTTAGCAAAAAAAGAATGCACAACTATCAGCACTAGCCCCATACAATTTTGTATGGACATAGTTGTGTGCCCCTGGCCCATAGGAAAGCTAGCCTGAAGGGCTCTGGCTATGTATCCACAATTCTATTTTTGTCCAGACAGAAATAGCTGAAGACACCTTGTGCATTTGAATTTTGGATGTACATGTACTTAATGGTGTTTAGTGTGAATGGATATGGTAGTAGAATTCTGAGCTTTAGTGATTTTTCAACCTAATATAAATGTTCAAGACATACAGATATATCATGGTAAGATCTCCATATAATCATTTGGTGGATGAGTGTGAATGGACAGGTAATAACTGATCATGCCCATTCAAGTGTGACTCTGAAATCTGTACCTTTTGCAGTGTAGAGCAAAAATATATACCACAGACGGTTTAAAGTAATGAACTCTCATAAATCACATCTGTATATATAAATTATATGCATCAAAATCCAAGAAGATCTAAAGTTTTATATTTGAAGTCAAAATTCAAGAGGGTCATGGCCCTTAAAGGTCATCTACCATTAATGAATAGATGGACAAACCACAGAATTTGCAGATGGTGGCCAGAAAAATTTTGAATATTCCTTGAAATTATCAGGAAGATATGACCATGTAATAAGAACTATGTTTCAAATTTAGTTGAAATCCACGGAGTTGTTTTGCAGAAGTATTTTAAAGGAAAATTTTGTGGACATCACACAGTGTACAGCCAAAGCATAACAACAATAGGTCATCTTGACTCTAAACAAGTCAATATTGTTTTCCATTAAAGGTTTCACAAACTTTTCAATTAACTTATTGTTATAATATAATTTTCAAAAGGGAAATTTAATTCACTCGTCTGTTTGATATCATGTAAGAAATTTGACCTCCAAGAAAAAGTGGCACCAGGAAGAGGAAGTCTGTGGTGGTAATGACAATAAAATTACAAATACAAACCTCCTCTCTTAGAATTATGTCAGAAATCAGTTGCCTATTCAAATATAGATGATCATCTCTGCAACCTGATATCTTCCACAGAATGAAAACTTTGAAAGTATGAACAAAGGGAGATAAATTGAAGAAGTGATAAAATTTTTTCTTCCAACCAGACAAGAAGTATAGCAATATGTGCATGAAATAGTTCCAAATTGTTATACAAATCATTATAACTAATAACATCTTTATGTTTTCTTTTTGATCTATTGATCTTATATACAAAGGCCCTAAAATTGGTACATTGCCCATCCCCTTACGTATGACCAGTGAATATACTAACTTTCATAATCCTTTCTTAACTGTAGGCAAAGTTATGCTCCAGACTACTAGACACGGTAGGATGGATGGAAAGACAGATGGACATGGGGGCGACTATATGCTGCCCAAAAAATTATTGGGGAACCTAATAGCAATAACAAACTTGTTTTTTCCAGTAAACCATTACTCGAAATCAAAGTTTACAGCTAGCAACACCAAGGTGACCCTAGCTACATGTGATATTTGAGAAAGATCCATTCAGTAATACTTGTTGAAAAATAGTGATAACATTCTTTCATAGTCAATATTTGAGACAGCTGCCTGGGTGCAACTAGGGACCAAAGGGAACCTTCGGAGAAATATCCATGATTACTTTTCAAGAAATAATGATAAGCATTTTTTTATGGGCAGACAAACCAGAGACATAATGCGATTTGAGTAGGCCACATGTTGATGGTTGGCTATTGGTGAAATCTTTTTAAACATAACGCATAATATACCTCAAATCATGCATGACACCAAACCGTAATACTTACAGGCTACACCAAATAGAAATGCTGTAAGAGGCCATTCGAAGAAACTGTAATACATCTTGTGAGTAAAATCTGTAATGAAAGAGAATAAAAAAAGACATTTTTGATTTACCAAGACTTCATGTATTTAGATTAAATTAGACTATAATGATAAGTAATGAAGATGATAGCTACATGTAAACAAGTATATCTAATTAATATGTTATCATATTAATAACCAGTAATATCCAATTCCAATGTAATGAAAGTTTTGAGAGGTCAGTATTCAATTTTTCTTTCTCTGCTGCTTTACCTTTTTGTTCACCTTTTCCCAAAGGTTACATTTGATGTAAGTATAGTCAAACATGTATGAATCAAAATTTCATGATTCAAATTTCTTGATGTTTTAAATTGTTGTCCTGTCTCGAATTTCATTCCTATATATTACTACTATTTTACTCCTTTAGGAATCTAAGTTCTATTGATCATTAGCTATGATAACACCGTGATTGACACCACTGTACTGTACAGGTATTTTCGCTCTGTGGCAAAATTTCTTGATGTATCAAATTTCTTTTGCTAGCCCCTTGAACTGCTAATCATCGGTGATTGACTTTATATTCTAGGCTTGATAGGAAAAGCATTTGTACTAGAAGATATTTTTTAAATAATGGATGTTTTGAAGCTAATCTAGCCATATGTCCAGGACTTATTGAGTATTGGATCTAAGTGTAAAACTTTAAAGTGAAATAATATTGTCATAGCCAGAAAAGTAACTACCTGGTATTAAACACTGCATTATATATTATTTTGTTGGAAATACTCTTTTTATGTTCATGAAATTTCTTTTATAATGTTGAAGATTGTATAAATGTGTTAAAGCAATTTCTACTTCAAATTATTCTGTATTTTAGTAACAAATTTATGACTAAAAGCTGCAATTTTACTCTCACTCAAATGCACAACTATTGTGCATACAACGGAAATGTGTCCAACCTTGTTTCTAATATATATATATATATTAATACAAAATTAGTAATATAAAAGAGCTCACAATGAATAAAACTGCATTGTACAGTTATTTTGCTTTTGAAGGATGCTAAGTTTGAAACCTTTAATCGACTGAGAAAATTCCCAAACCAAAGTAAAAATCTGGCAGTTAGGTCATAGGAACCAACCTCATTTCAAATATACTCCTACATAATACTCTTTAAGTATGAGTGTGTTGACAGACAAGGCTGATACCTGTGGTTAGGGCTAGATCTAAAACTTGGAATTAATCTTGCACGTGAAGTCGTGAAATAAACATTAAAAAATAATTCTAAAAAATCATATCATATGACCCTTCTTAATCAAATTGTTTTTACTTTATGCATTGACTATTTGATATTACAATAAATTACAAAATAAGGGGTCGAAGAAGGTCATCATTTTGCTAAATAGCATAACCATTATATATTAAACAAAACGATGTTAACTGCATATGCTATTCCTTATATTGTATGATGTGAATAGTAATTGAAAATTACCAGCTTTCTTCAAACGACCAAACTGTGCCAAAAGCACTCGAAAGTCATCATGGAGGATTCGTTTAGTCGCCATTTTGAGGCCGACTATGGTAGAAAATAACGACATCTCAAAGACATTTTAAAATCTCTCGAAGTCAACTATAACATATTTGTTTGTAAAAGTATAATTCAAAAATTAATATGTTATTTTGGCCAATACAGCTGCGTTGTGTTAATTCATAACAGTCGTATAGGAGTAGCGACTACCGTAAACTGTCATTTAGTAAACATGGCAGCCTCCATGGGTGACTTTATGTCTGGTCCCGGTAGATCTAAGCCTTGCAGAGCGTGTACTGATTTCGATTCATATGTTGATCAATATATGAAGGAAAAGAAAGTAAGTTACATACATGGAGGTATTTTGGTTACAGTTCAAATATGTAATCTCGTCATTTTCCCAAATAACGAAACGTTGCTTCGGTGGTCTGTTGATCAAAGCATGGTTAGACCTAGTAGGCAAGACATTAAAAAATGAATTATCAAAAAACAACAACAATATACTCTCGTTGTATTAATTGAGATAAATAACGTAAACTTTTCAAGAGTTTCGTGTGTAATGCTAACGAAATAGCGTGAACAGCAAAAGGGCTAAAGGGAGATAATCCTGACCTACAGTGTATTTACCAAACTAATATTGTAAAAACATTGTAAAATATTGTTATTGAGTCTCACAGACTGTTGAAATATTTTATTTGAATTACCAGTTACACAGTTTGCATATTTGAAAACATTTTTATTACTTTGATGTTTAATCTAGTTTTAAATGATGACATAATTTTTAAGTATTGCATAATAAATATTATGATATGCATTAATCAAGTTAAGACTTTTGATTTAGCATCTTCTTATGAGGATAGGGTATCTATAATGTAGAATTTTTAAACGGCATGATTTACACAATTCTCTGTCACCTGATATAAAATAATGGTTAAAGAAGCAGACTGCACAAATTGAAGGTCACATTAAAGGTCAGTCTCATTAAAAACAGCATATCCTTTAATTTTCATTCATGCATGTGACAATTACTGAATGAAGTTATTGTCCTCACTTACTGTAGTTCACTTTTGAATGAAGTAATTTGAGTTTAATTCTGCATTTGTTTCCACATTTATGTATACAAAATTAGTCTTAGGAAGGCCTCAAGATAACATATTTGTTTGGCACCAAGATCATTGTTGCATCTCTTGTTGACAAAATGTTTTAATTTTCTTCTTATTATTAGTAAGAAAGTAATGCACAGAACTGGAACAAATAAAATCACAACCATATTTTTTTTCTTTTTTATTTTATGATGAACTGAATTGCTTTTATTAAGGGCTTAACTGTCCTCAGACACAACCATGGCATTGCATTACTGCAGTCTTGTTGCCAAAACAAAAACAAAACAAACGAAAAATACCAAGGATAACATTGGTTCAAAATTTATCATATATATTTACTTATAAAACAGTCATATTTCAGCATGTACATTAATTAGACAGAATAACTTTCAGAATTAACATGTATAATACATTTTGCCATTGACAGCTTCCAGCAACGATGAAAGCCACACTTAAAGATGAACTTCAGTGCCCACTGGACAAAAATGATCTGGGGCGGAACACCTGGTCATTTCTCCATACGATGGCAGCATACTTTCCTAACAAACCAAGTTCAATGCAGCAGTCAGACATGAAGCAGTTTATCCACTTATTCTCTAAATTCTACCCGTGTGATTACTGTGCCGAGGATCTCAGAGAGGAGTATGTATTCATAGGGAAATGTTACTCTGTAATTGACCTGACCTTTCAATACAACAAATGATATTAAGTAAGGGAAAAGATGGGAAAAGATCCAACTTACAAAGAACTAAATCTCAATGATGGTTGGCACCAAGATCACTCTCAAATCATAATATTCAAAATGATTCCATGCATATTCTTTTGTTATACTGAAAAGTTTAGGTGGGTGTTTATTTGAATGGGATGTTTAAAAATGAGGTGGATGTTTGTTGGCCTGAGATACATGTATAAACTTTAGGTGGATGTTTGTTGGCCAGGGATACGTTGATAAAGTTTAGGTGCAGGTTGTTGGCCAGGGAGACATGTGTAAAGTTTAGGTGCAGGTTGTTGGCCAGGGAGACATGTGTAAAGTTTAGGTAGATGTTCGTTGGCCTGGGGTACATGTATAAACTTTAGGTAGATGTTTGTTGGCCTGAGATACATGTATAAAGTTTAGGTAGATGTGTGTTGGCCTGGGATACATGTATAAAGTTTAGGTAGATGTTTGTCGGCCTGGGATACATGTATAAAGTTTAGGTGGATGTTTGTTGGCCTCGGATGGTTCCTTTTTCACCCAAAGTTCTCTTGTTAAATAGAACTCCTTAATCTCTCGTCTTACTAGTTATCCAGCCTCCTCTAGTTGTTATGATTAATTTCCCGCTGTAGAATTTGAAATTGGATGGTGGTTTCTATATCCAGTACTGATACATATTACTCGGGGAAATGTACCAGTTCAGTGACAGGAAGAGTTGCATGTAACAACAAGAAAAAAATAAAATGCATATCTAGTGAAAGGATAACTTTTAATGTGTATTATGCATGAACATCATAGATACTTACTTTGGTTTGTAAAGAAGATTTGAAATCTGTAAAGCTACATTTAGTTTACATCACTCTTCTTGGAGACCATATCAGCTTAATAATCTCTGTCAAAGTTCAGTTTACATGCAGTTTATTTGAGGTAATGTATGTGATAAATGTTTATTTCTGACATTTGGCAGGTTGAAGACAAATCAACCAGACACGTCCAGTCAGCATGCATTTTCACAATGGATGTGTAGATTGCACAACACTGTTAATGTGAAAATTGGAAAACCGGAATTTGACTGCAGTAAAGTTGACGAACGTTGGCGAGATGGTTGGAAGGATGGTAGTTGTGGATGACTCTGTTTCAATATATTTGACTTTTTATATGGGAGGGTGGGATGCTTGACTGAGGAAAAGTATCTATTAGTTATCTGAATATTGCACAACAATTTGTAATAGCATTTATTAGTGCTATCTGGATTCAAAGCATCTGTGATTGATTTTTATGATGATGTACATTTAATGGGTCAAGAGCCTTCATCACTTTTTTATTTGTTTCCATCTAAGTGTTTTGATTCATCTTGTCTTTTATTTTACATTGAAATAGTGTGCAGACTCCCAGTACTAATAAAAACTTCTAAAGAACTCTTCCCTATATGGTAGTTAGTTACAGTGTCTGTATATATATGTTATATCAGTGTGTGTTGAAACATGATATTTAAATAAAATACTGTTTACATAAATATATATATATATATGTGTTTTTTTGTATTCTTGCTTTTGTTGCTATATATTTACATGTATTTGTTATACAACTATAATACAATCATCAGATTCAGCTAAAATTGCTTACAATTTCTTGGTTTTGTCAAAAGTCTGTTGTCAGTCAAATGTAAAAAAAATTAAGAACTCTGCAAAATATTGCGGGCAACCTATAGTAAGATAAACTGGGATTAGTACTTGTGGGTGAAAGACATTTGACCATTAGTCACTAGAACGACTAGCTTTTACTTTTCAATTGAATGACCTTAACCTAATCTCAAGGTCATTAGGGTCAGAGAGGAAAGAGAAGGAAGAGGCCTAGGACACTAAATTTTGTCTGAAGCATTGACTTTGTTGTAGAGCTATTGACTTTGTTGTAGAACTACTGAGACTGTTGTAAAGCTATGGAGATTTTTGTAGAGTTATTGAATTTGTTGTAGAGCTATTGACTTTGTTGTAGAGCTATTGAGATTGTTGTAGAGCTGTTGAGATTGTTGTAGAGCTGTTGAGACTGTTGTAGAGCTATTGACTTTTTTGTAGAGCTGTTGAGATTGTTGTAGAGATGTTGAGATTGTTGTAGAGCTATTGACTTTGTTGTAGAGCTATTGACTTTGTTGTAGAGCTGTTGAGACTGTTGTAGAGCTATTGACTTTGTTGTAGAGCTATTGAGATTGTTGTAGAGCTGTTGAGATTGTTGTAGAGCTGTTGAGATTGTTGTAGAGCTATTGAGATTGTTGTAGAGCTATTGAGACTGTTGTAGAGCTATTGACTTTGTTGTAGAGCTGTTGAGACTGTTGTAGAGCTATTGACTTTGTTGTAGAGTTATTGACTTTGTTGTAGAGCTATTGGGATTGTTGTAGAGCTATTGAGATTGTTGTAGAGCTGTTGAGATTGTTGTAGAGCTTTGAGATTGTTGTAGAGCTGTTGAGATTGTTGTAGAGCTTTGAGATTGTTGTAGAGCTGTTGAGATTGTTGTAGAGCTGTTGAGATTGTTGTAGAGCTGTTGAGATTGTTGTAGAGCTTTGAGATTGTTGTAGAGCTGTTGAGATTGTTGTAGAGCTGTTGAGGATTTTTCAGCAGACTTTCCTTGACTGATACTTTAGGTTTCTATAATGAGTTATTGCTTCTTTCTCCTGGTGATATGGATTGTATTGATGTTGGTCCTGAAGCATAATTCTTAAAGGAAAAATCAATTATTTTTCAAAAATGCCTTAAAATGTTTTCATACAGGTACTGAATAATCGTAGGGGCTAATAGTCATGATGTTTGGTAGATGTGAGTGGCATGAAGGGCTATCAGGTGTTATTAAACTTCCATTGCCATTATTACTTCATGTAGTGATGTCATCATTTCCATTATGAACTCAACAACATTATTTTTAAAAAATCTGTCATTAGAAAATGTGCATTTGAAAGAATTCACCTATTGTTGGCAATGATGTGTTATTTATGATTTCAAACTTATAAATACAATATCTTTCTCTTAGACCTTCTTTAACTGAAAAGTTTTGACGATTTGACGAAATTCTCGGTATTACTGATATTTGAATCATCAATGGCATAGTTCTATATTTAGAATGCACTATTCTTTGCACCAGATGTTTATTTGAGACTTAATAAATACAGGATCTTTAATGAGCTGTTATTTCATATGAGATTTTATGAAGCAAATCTTAGAACTTTTTATTCTTACATTCTGATATGTTTTTAGTCAAAGTGGGGAGGACTAAATCAACACAGGCAGTCATTTTGTTATACAATTTTCAACTCATGATGTATGACATCACAATTGATATCTGACTGATGCAGTCAATAAAAATCACTCCAGGGTATATAACACAAGTGACACACAAAACTATTACATGGATGAATTCACTGGATATCAGGCAGGCTATATGACAAGTAAATTAAGGTATTTGATTTAACCCTTAATTATAAACATAAACTTTATTTATACTAATCACTCTTGTTGGCCCGGATGTAAGCGCGTGAGGGGTCTTATTGTGGGAGGAAACCAGAGTACCCGGGGAAAACCCACGTGGTCGGGCAGGTGACCCCTTACCTTTTCACGTCCGTTCTGGGAATCGAACCCCGGTCGGCTAGGTGAAAGGCGAGTGCATTAACACTTAATTAATACATGTATTAACAAAGTGTCCAAGAAGTAATCCAGGATTACATTCTGCTGTGCCAAAAATAAACACTACATCACATCCATCAAATCCCAACATATCTGAAATATGAAATGGTCAACATGATGCTTGTGAGCACTAGAGTTATTAAAATAGATTGCCTGTGTGAAGGGCATGCATGTTGTATTAAAAATGATGCCAGGAATTTCTCATGATGCTACATAACTGTATCAGGGAAAAAATACTGAATACAGAATTACAGTTGATGTTTTAATAGAAACTTGGTTGGTATCACGTACAGTGTGTGTAGAACACAAAGCTGCCTCAGACTATCATCAAAGTTATTCAGTGTCCTGTTATTCCATCTTGAGTGACAGTAACTGATGACTGTGACTGATGACACTTTGATGTTATATGTAAATTTCCTTGTTACCAATGACTGCCCTTAGTAAATCTGCAATAGAATAAATACTATAGTAGAGAAATACATAATACACACAAACTATTATAGATAAATCAATCAATAAATCAATATAATATCACACAAAAAATATCAGATAAAAAAAATCACATTTGGGTCCCACTCTCCAAATCATTACACAATTATAGGAGAACTTAAATTCACTTAAAATCACACAGATAAAATAAATAATGAACCACAACCCACTGATGGATAAATTACATTCAATGCAACAACTACATACAGTTGTATTAAGAAATACTTTAAATCATCAGAAGTATCATAGCATGTGGTTACCATTCACTATACATATGAAAATTAAATGGTTGTTATCCCGCTTGCTTTCATAGAAATAAATCCTTGTGTGAAATGAAGCTGAATGTTTTCAATATTGTTAAGTATGCCAGGTGGGGGGATGTTAACACCAAAGTTCTTATTTTGAGAACATGACATTACAAACATTGACATATGTTTATGTAATAATAAGCAGAAGACACTAACCTTTCCAGAACACCTCTTACTTTTTTTGTGTCTGTGTAAATCATTGTACACATTTAACTCTGATTTTATCTGTAGAATGTTACTTTAGTTGTAGCCAGTTTCTTTTGACGGAATTATGTATGTCTGTGTTTAACGTATAAACTGTATACTCATTTCTGAGATAGCCCTCGATTCCTTGACAACTTGATAGGCTTTTTTTAGGTCATCTGACCCAATGGGACAGGATGGCCTATAACCATCATGTCATCGTCGGCAGAGTGTAAACTTTCCATTCAAATGACTTCTCAGTAACCAAAAGGCTCACGTTTCTGATATTGGGCCTGTAGCATGATGGTATAAAGGGCTACTAAGTTTGTTCATATGAATGTCTTTGACTTGCTTTCAAGGTCACAGTGGTCAATGATGTTAAAATCTTTACACAACTTCTCAATGACCAAAAGTCCAAGGGTGCTGATATTGGGTCTGTAGCATGCTGGGATGAAATGCTACCAGGTTTGTTCACCTTGACCTACTGTCAAGTCACAGGGGTGAAAGAGTGTAGAAATGCATACACAACGTCATCTCAATAACCAATAGGCAAAGGGCCTTGATATTTGGCATGTAGCACGCTTTTTCAATAAGGAATTTGTCCTGTGTAATGGCATTCATATATAGTGCATGTATAAAGAATATGATTTCAAGTTTGCAGAAAGAGTCTTTATGAAGAAACAATGTCTTCTATGTAAGCTGTAGAGTAGTCGAGCAATTTATTTGGCCTCTTTCATGTATAGGCCTTTATAATCAGATGGCCCTTAAGGCTTGTGGGCCTCTTGTTATATAAATATAGACAATTTTTGCACTATACACATTTATTAATGGGTTAGTGTTTCTTAAGTTAATTGGTGCAGTTATGTAAAAGATTCATATCATATGGCCATGCACAGCTGGTTCATACATACATGTACTTCATAATGAACCCTTATCAATGAATGTACGGGTTCACCTTAATCTCTATCCAAACTTCTAAACACTTTTCCATTACTATCATCCCAGTGCTTTTTTAAAATTAAGTGGATACAGATGAAGCACTTCTTCAAACTCTAAGAGTGTACCAGAAAAATCTCGGAGACCATTGAGAGTGATTGGAGAATCTAAGAGACATTGAGAGAGTGAAAAGAGAATCCTAGAAAACATTGAGAGAGTGACAAAATAATCGTAGAGAACATTTAGAGAGTACAATGATTATCCCAGAGACCATTGCGAGAGTATCAAGATTATCCCAGAGACCATTTAGAGAATACAATTATTATCCTAGAGACCATTGAGAGAATACAATGATTATCCCAAAGACTATTGAGAGAGTACAATGATTATCCCAGAGACTATTGAGAGAGTACAAAGATTATCCCAGAGACTATTGAGAGAATACAATGATTATCCCAGAGACCATTGAGAGAGTACAATGATTATCCCTGAGACCATTGAGAGAGTACAAAGATTATCCCAGAGACCATTGAGAGAGTACAATGATTATCACAGAGACTATTGAGAGAGCACAATAATTATCCCAGAGACCATTGAGAGAGTACAAAGATTATCCCAGAGACCATTGAGAGAGTACAATGATTATCACAGAGGCCATTGAGAGAATACAATGATTATCACAGAGACTATTGAGAGAGCACAAAGATTATCACAGAGACTATTGAGCGAGTACAATGAGAATCAGGAGACTATTGAGAGAGTACAAGAATTCCAGAGACATTGAGAGAGTTTCAGGACGATAATGAGACTATTGAGAGAGTGACAGGACAACCAGGAGGCTATTGAGAGAGTACTAGGAGAACACGATAAAGCTTCAAAATTAATAGCAAAAACTATAGATTGTAAATCTGCACCCCCAGAGATCATTTTAGACCACATCATCTCGCCGACTACATAAACCTTTTATCTCTGCCTTATTTACTTTGGTGCTTTTCTACTTCAACATTGCTTTTTTACAATGATTCTTGATAGAAACTGCTCAAAGGATTTGCTCTGAGAGATATCAATTCCTAGTGGATAAACTTTCAACGCTTTCATAACGTTTCAAAATGGGAAAGTTTATGTAAATTAAGGGAAATGACTGACCCTTCTTCAAGGTCACGATATTGAATTTGTTAAACCTTTAATCAACTTTTTCTGCTTAACTAAAAGGCGAAGAAGCGTGATATTCGGTGACAAGTTTCTAGGATGAAGCCGGACAAAGTTTTCAGAAAGAAATGACCTTGACCCATATTCAAAGTCACAGAGGTCGAATTTGTTAAAACCTTTAAACGACTTCTTCTGACTTACCAAAAGGCACAAAAGCATGGTATTTGGCTGATGGTTCCTGGGATAAACGTCGAAAAAGTTTGCGAAAAGATACTACCTTAATCCACATTCAAGTTCACAGGGGTGGAATTCGTTTAAACCTTAAAACAACTCCTTTACCACTAACTAAAAGGCACAGAAGCATGACATTGGAATGGTAGGTCACTAAGATGAATCCCAATAATGTTTGCAAAAGAGAGATGACCTTGAACCATATTTAAGGTTACATGTTTTAAATTGTCAAAACCTGTGAATGACGCTTTCTGGCAAACCAAAATCTGGGAAGCAGAATATTTGGTTGAAGAGCGTTTCTAAGTCAAAGCCCGACATGTTTTGAAAAAAAAGACATTTACCTATAATCCTTGTCATAACTGTCGCTGTTTAGAGTGCAGTTGTTGTTTAAATATTAGACAAAACTGATTGAATGTGCCAACTTTAAAAGCCAATGGTGAATGTATTAATGAAAGTGTATTTGTGATTAACATCGATTCTATTTTTGATAAACATTGACTACCATTGAATGTGTGCAATGCAGGCCCATTGCGCCTCTTGTGATTTGACCTAGTCTTACAAGGCGGTTTCGTTGATGAAAACCAATTGCCCTTCCGAGTCTTATCCTGTTAAGGTTTAAGGTGTGAATCTTTCCTTTTATAACTTGTTGGTATTTCATTAATTTTCAGCGAAAGTGACAATCATATTCGGTACGTCGATATTTCTGGTTTTACTTCTCTTTTTTTGGCGGGTGTCGATGATACGCTTATGCTTTCGAAACCCTTGGTCTTATTCTCTTTGTACTTTTACAGGAGTCTCCTTACAAACCTTTCTTTTGTTAATATTTTGTCATTTACATGTCTTTATTTTCTCTGTGGTTTTATAATTAAGCTAAACTTGTGTATGACGCATACCGCTGTCTTGCTTCTAGCCAACGACAAAGGCTGGAGTATGACCCGTGTGCTTGCTGTGGATATCCTTGGGGGTGCTGGTCGATGTATGTTTAGTATGTTAATCGGCTTTGGTTTCTTTCCAAAGAAAAGACTTCGAGGACCTTGTTTTGCTTTCTGCAAAAAAGGAAAGAAAAATATATCAGGGTCAGTCTGGTATAATATATTTTAACAGCCCAATCAACAAGTTTACTTTCACCATTGGTTGAAAATTTCCTTCATTTTTTTAATAATTGTTATGAGTTGCTCTTGATTATTTTTTTTAAATTATTCACAGCAAACATACTGCATACGTTGTTAGCTATGTGATTTCAGGTCGTCTGAAATGTTATCTATTAAAAAGAACGAACCATTGTCATTTGCCGCAGTGCTTGGTTTCCACAATCCCATGGGTTACCTAAAAGTACATTTACAAAAAACACATTTGAGAAAACAAAATAAGCATTATAAGTGAAGAGCAATTCAGATAATATTCTCCAGCGTTATTATATGGTGATAACATTTTATACACTAGCATGAATCAAGAAGTGAAGTCGACTTACGAGTGCCAATGCAATACAATTTGGGTCGGCCAATCTTGATATCGATCGAGTAGTCCGCCACGACACTAGACTGTGGCCGTTCCATACGACGATATAGGATGTCTGGATGCCAGTCAAACTATGAGTACAAACAGACAAATTGATGCTCAGAAATTGTACAAAAGACACAAAAGTAAATAACACATTTTCATACAAATTAAGAGTTAGGTTAAGTAGAGTGTCGCCATCTTAGATTGTTGTGGGGACATTAGCTCAGAGCAACAAGAACCGAAGTTGGCGAAATGGTTGAGAATCCAAACGATACCCACCGAAGATGAAAACACATTCAATGTTGATACAGGTGTGTTAACCGATATTTTCTTACAAAAAACCGAACTGAAAACCCCAGATTATTTCTGTGCCTCGTTCACGCCGTTTCCGCCACAATTAAAGCCTAGCCAGCAATTAAGTTTTCTCTATGAACAATTCTGCAACTTCTACATCAGGATATTCTCCTTTTGCAATTGTGTTCGGATTCCGACCATCGGTTTCGTTATGTTCAGCAAACCCAATTCAAGACAATGGTTCTCCTGATCTTGACACTTACATGAACAAAACGAAGCATACATTCGAAGGTATCAGAGAACATCGTTGTGAACATGTTAAGTCGTCTCAATCTGAGAAGAACAGACCTCTTATGCTACAAAGAAGTGATTACGTTTATCAATACCATGTACCCACAGGACAGAGGCAGAAACTTCAGGATCTTTACAAACGAGTGTATGTGGTCATGGATATAATATCATCTCAGGCTGCGTCTACAGAATTACTTGTATCTCGACCTGTACATATAGACCGGCTTAAGTGTGTTTATGTTCATGCTCCTCAACCGGACAACTACTGCAAATTGCATCAATGGATATCCATGAGGAATTCAAACTCACAACCTTTGACATTCCCTAGAATGACACTGACAGTGTTACGGATATCATGTCAGAGCAGTCTCTACAAACGGATAAAGTTACATCGGACACTGTACAGCAATCACAGACTGTTTACGGTAATGAACGTCCAAAATGAAATATTCGGAAGCCAAAAAGATAATATACTTCCACAGACAGTTCTTCTGACCTCTCCTGTAATCCAGGGACGGAGTACAAAATCAAACGTATCTTGGATCAGAGAACGATGGAGTCAGGAACAGGCTTTTTGATTCACTAGGTTGGGGAACCTTCACAAAACGCCCGGTGGATCGCCTATAAGGATCTAAATGCCTCTGTTAAGAGAACTGTGATGATGAAACCACCACCAAATACATGAATGTCTACGAACTGTGTACATTAATTACTTTCATGTTAAATGTACTTTCAAGCGACTTTGAATATATAATCAAACATATTCAGATTGTGTGAAACTGTATCCCCACTTACTAAAACATTTGTAATAAATATACAAATTGACTTACTGTGACTATAAGCTTCTGGTTCAAAGATTTTTTTGCTTGAGCTCATAGATACAGTATTTATTTATACATATTAAAATGAATGGGAATGGCATATCACTGGAGCCACACACATTTCAAACGTAGACGACTGTACAGGCAAAGTTTTGAAATCGAATGATAAAGACGATCTATCATGTACCTTTTCTTCCTTAGCGCCGAGTTTTACGAGCAGCTCCTCTTGCATATCGGATTTCTGACGATGCATCTGTGGCGTCACCATCATCCCTTTGTTCGCTTTACATCTACATGTACATCGACACTCCATCACGAGTCCAGTGCTGTAAAGCTAGTCAAACATAGGCGCTAGGACCCTACAATGAAATAAGGTAGTCAAATATAGGCGCTATGATCTGTAGACCCCTACAACGGAATAAAGTAGTCAAATGTAGGCGCTATGGTCTGTAGAATCCTACAACGGAATAAGGCAATCAAATATAGGCGCTATGATCTGTAGACCCCTACAACGGACTAAGGCAGTCCAATGTAGGCGTTATGGTAGGGCGCTATGGTCTGTAGAACCCTACAACGGAATAAAGTAGTCAAATGTAGGCGCTATGGTCTGTAGAACCCTACAACGGAATAAGGCAATCAAATATAGGCGCTATGGTCTGTAGAACCCTACAACGGAATAAGGCAGTCAAATGTAGGCGTTATGGTAGGGCGCTATGGTCTGTAGAATCCTACAATGGAATAAGATAGTCAAATATAGGCGCTATGATCAGTAGAACCCTACAACGGAATAAGGCAGTCAAATGTAGGCGTTATGGTAGGGCGCTATGGTCTGTAGAATCCTACAATGGAATAAGATAGTCAAATATAGGCGCTATGATCAGTAGAACCCTACAACGGAATAAGGCAGTCAAATGTAGGCGTTATGGTAGGGCGCTATGGTGTGTAAAACCCTACAACGGAATGAAGTAGTCAAATATAGGCGCTATGGTCTGTAGAATCCTACAATGGAATAAGATAGTCAAATATAGGCGCTATGATCTGTAGAATCCTACAATGGAATAAGATAGTCAAATATAGGCGCTATGATATGTAGAACCCTACAACGGAATAAGGCAGTCAAATGTAGGCGTTATGGTCTGACGATATCGTCTGTAGAACCCTACAACGGAATAAAGTAGTCAGATATAGGCGCTATGGTCTGTAGAACTCTACAACGGAATAAGGCAGTCAAATGTAGGCGCTATGGTCTGTAGAACCCTACAACGGAATAAGGCAGTCAAATGTAGGCGTTATGGTCTGGGGCTATGGTCTGTAGAACTCTACAACGGAATAAAGTAGTCAAATATAGGCGCTATGGTCTGTAGAATTCTACAACGGAATAAGGCAGTCAAATGTAGGCGTTATGGTCTGGCGATATCGTCTGTAGAACCCTACAACGAAATAAGGCAGTCAAATATAGGCGTTATTGTCAGTAAACATTACCGCGAAAATGTTTGTCATCAAGAAACTCTATGTCCTGTAAAATCCGACAATGGAAATGCTTGTTAACAATAGGCGCTATGGCCAGTAGAACACTAGCAGGGAAAATTTTGCTAAACATAGGCGCTATGATATGTAGAATCATGCGTGTGTCAGCCATATGTAGATAATGTTCATATTAAATATTCATAGCTCTAAGTGGAAATCAGCACATAATGAATAATTTAATTGTATTTGTCTGTTCTACCTAACATATTGCCAAGGCCTTCCTATACTTACCGGGCCGAAGTCATATGGCTGACATTTTATTTATTACTAGTGCTAGGTCCATGGATTATTGTCCGATTCTTATGCAACACTAGACCCATGGATAAATTTTGGCTTTCTATCTCGCACTAGGTTTAGGGCTTATTATAGATCTTATTTATAACATTCGTTCTTGGTTAAGGCCTTATTGTTTAATTCTTGTCTCGCACAAGGTTTAGGGATTTTTGTGGCTTCTTATCATACACTGGGCCTACATAATAAACATTTATACCTGGGATTTACTGCTGACCTACTTCATTAACATTTATACCTGGGATATACTGCTGACCTACTTGATAAACATTTATACCTGGGATTTACTGCTAACCTACTTGATAAACATTTATTCCTGGGGTTTACTGCTAACCTACTTGATAAACATTTATACCTGGGGTTTACTGCTAACCTACTTGATAAACATTTATACCTGGGGTTTACTGCTAACCTACTTCATTAACATTTATACCTGGGATTACTGCTGACCTACTTGATAAACATTTGGCCTGGGATTTACTGCTGACCTACATAAGTAACATTTAGCCAATAATTTATTGTTGACCTACATACATAACATTTTACCTGGGATTTACTGCTCACCTTCACAAATAACATTTAGCCTGGGATTTTCTGCTGACCTTCACAAATAACATTTAGCCTGGGATTTACTGCTGACCTACATAATTAACATTTAACCTGGGATTTCTTGCTGACCTGCTTGATAAACATTTGTCCTGAGATTTGCTGCTGACTTACATAATAAACATTTGGCCTGAAATTTACTGAAGAGAATAGCGCTTATTCCTGACGGGTTTGTGGCCTATTGTTAACGTCCTAACTGTGATACTAGCAGCCTAAGATGTTGAAATCAAGAAGGTTATACTTGTGGTTAAGAAAATGTATATTGGTCAAATACTGATAGCAAATACACAAAACACAAAATCGAAAAACAAAATAGGAAAAGGAAATGACGCATTATATCGAGGGAATATCAGCAACACGTACAGAGCACTAGGTATTGGGGTATTGAATAAGTACTCAAGAACGTCAAGAGTGAGTGTCAACAATGAAAATGTATAAATAACGATAAGAAATAAAACTGCATCATTGAAGGACTTTTAAATGATCTTAGGGTCCAAAAGTGTGCAAGTCATCAGATTTGTCAACAATATATACTTATCTTTCCACGATAACCTTGATAAAACTCTATTTAAAGGGCTGGCCAAGATTTTTTTTAAAATTAGATTCTTTGACATTATAATCAAAAGAGCACAGCTATCGATGTGATACCACTGGAATACATTACCGTGTTTACAATTGAATTCGTAGCTGTTAAAGCGAAATTCTGATGATTATTTCGATTGCTGGATCAAAGTTGTACAAAATCTTTTTATAGGATATTCTCATGTCATGAAATATAAGATTTATAATAAACAATAGGCATCTTTTCATAAATGGTCAGTAAGTTTTAGAAGAGATACATGCAATTAAATACATATTTTAACTATCAAAATTCACAACGTTTCGATGATTTTTTCTATTTTACAAAATAAGACTCCGCATCCTTTAAAAGGTAAAAAGTAAAAAATCAATGGTAAACAAATAATTTATGAAAACAAATATTAAACCTTAAATACATCATTGTCTGGAGATGGTTAGTGACAGAACTCAACTGTATTAACCTATGGACAAAAAGATATATATTTAGCTGATATCAATAGACTTGATAATGATCATCGCATTTCCAAATACCTTTACGTTAAGTGCGTACTTTAGTCTTCGTAAAAATCACATTTAAAAAATCAGCATGGAAGAAACAGGAAATAGTTAACAACTATGGTAATCTGTTCAACACCCCATCATGGAAAGTCATAAACTCACTAATTAATCACGTTACCATTACTGTCCAGGGTAAATCTAGCGATAGGGAAAACACTAGGGCCGGTTTTTGGAAAAGCAAGTTACTTTATATTAAGCGATTTTCCAAACAAATAATTCTTGATTTAGAGTTTTGTCAACATTCATGCACTTTATCAAACTTGTTTCACGACGATTTGGTGCCATAGATGATTTCGATGTTCGGAGAGTGTTCGAGATAAGGATTGTCCGCGCATCAGTTATGTTACAGTGTCCAAATAGGTTTAACATAATGCCGTTACAGATGTAAAGACAAAACTATTTCTATTAGATATGTGTTTCTGATTCAGCATTTTTTACCTGGTATTTTGTGTGTAAGTTGCTGTAGAATATCCCCCGTCAGAGGTATGCATGCGTTTATGGAAAGTGAATTCTTGGTTTCAACCTTGATATCCGGAAATAAATGAAGCAATAAAAAATTTGAAATAAAAAAAAAGATAAATAATGTAAATATACTTACTACGTAGTAATAACCAGTCGATAAGTTAGTAATACCGGAGGAAAGCTGGACACAGACTGTGATTCAGACACTTTATCAGGTCCTGATTACACTGAACAAGAATCGATACCATATAATTCACAAACAAACACACGCACCTGCGTCGACTTGGATAAATCAATACATCTACTGTAAATCACTTTCTATCTCGGTGTTGCTTTCAATGAATATATTGTTGTAACTTCTGTTGTGACTGGTACCTTTGTGTCTCAAATAAATATGTTGTACACTTGTAATGTGCTGATTTTATCTTTGATTTAGAAGCGCGTGCGTAACAATTACAAAAATACCAACGATTACAACAAAACACATTGAACAACTCTATGTAAATCTTAACGTACAGATAATGAAAGATAATGAATGGAGTACCTGATAATATTTGTATGTTTACACCTTACTGTGTAACTAGACGATCAGGTGTCCTTCAGGTCTAACTATATTTAGATTTGGTATATCAAAATCGAGGAAAAATCATAACAAGTTACTAGCACAGTTCAAACATGCGAATAAATATTCTGTTCATGAAATCCTTCTAATCAAAGTCCTAATACTACGAGTACTTTCTGCCTGAATAAGATTTCTTAGTTTTATGTTACATAACAAATGTCGCATAACAATTTATCGGACATACTTTATGCAGTGTGAAATAAAAATGACTTTTAACATGCAGTCTTATCTTAAAAAATTCTGGTACAATTTGGGTAAGTTGTTAACTTCAAACTCTTCCACTATGCGATGGACTTTACCTCCACGTTTGATATCCTCCGCAGTAAATTCTTTCCACACTACTCCTGAGAATTCTATTTCTTTTTCAGAGAAAACTGTTACTGTACTATTTAAATGTATACAACTTGTGGGCTATTACAATATTTCCCCTCAAAAGTTGATTATGTTTAGGAAAATGACGTCAGTGATTGTGTTAATAACTATAATATTCAATGCTGTATTGTCCTATCTACTTGACGTTATAGATCTTGTCTTGTGGTCTGTATTTTTTTTATCATGACTTTAAAACTATTTGCTTTTTCCATATTGTATATTAATATACACATAATTAAACCAATTCACATGACGTATATTTAACATGAAAATAGCTTTTAAATGGTAATCTATTGATCTTTAATCACAATAATTAACAAAGATTCTTGTATACTTATATTCAAGCCATTTAGAAATGATTTCATGCGAACTGGTTTTTATAAATTCAAATGATATAATTAAACTTATATTAAAGGACATGTATTACGTAATTATAGTAATGATTTTAGAATACATTTATACTTGAATATTGAGTTCATTAAAATCCTTTCGTGAGCCCAATCTTTCATACCGTAAATAAAGTTACGTCTTAAGTTTGTAAAACATCATTCTACCTGTGACGTGTGGAAGTTAGAATAGCATTGAGAATACTATGATGAATGGAATCTCTAAAGACATGGAGTTACTTATGATGTGTGGTAGCTAGAATAACATCGATGTACCTATAATGTAGAAGAAGCTAGAATGACATTGAGAATACTATGTTGACATAGAGTTAACTGTGATGTGTGGTAGCTAGTATAACATTGAGTTACCTGTGATTTGTGGAAGCTCGAATAACATTGAGTTACCTGTGATTTGTGGAAGCTCGAATGACATTGAGTTACCTGTGATTTGTGGAAGCTAGAATAACATCGAGTTACATGTGATTTGTGGAAGACAAAATGACATTGAGTTACCTGTGATTTGTGGAAGACAAAATGACATTGAGTTACCTGTGATTTGTGGAAGACAAAATGACATTGAGTTACCTGTGATTTGTGGAAGCTCGAATGACACTGTGTTATATGTGATTTGTGGAAGCTCGAATGTTCTTTTACAAATCATGTACGTGTAATAAAGCTAGGCTTCAATAAATGAATAACGGAAATTAATGTTTACATCCATTGTATTCTTATTAACGATATCTTTTGAAATTGGTGACTATAATATCCCATTTCCCTAATATATGGAAACAAATCGACAGCCGAATGCATCTTTCTCTAATAAAGACCTAACTATTTTATAATAATTATTGTCAAGAACCATTTGAAGTTTGTCAATTCCCTAAGAAGATGAAGTACAACCACTGTCTGTAAAAATAGACTTGTTCTACGACAGAACAAAATGACACAATGACAGTGTGCGATTGGAGGAAGGCACGTATTATGTACTAACCCAATATCCTGGTATCTATGTTCCCTGTTCAGAATCCGTAAGAAACATACATGTCCAGATTGTCTTCACCATAAGTTTCCAGCAGTATCTACTGTCACTATCCCACTATATGTTCATTAACATGGACATAGTCTTTTAACTGGTCTATATAGAGAATCAGAAAAAAGTACAAATATTTACACATGGATTACTGATGTACATATGGTCACAATACACACCATAGTACCCTCTCGTACCGATTTAAACAAGGATTAGAGTCAAGTACATACTAACACTTACCGACGTTCAGTATGCACAGTGTTCTCTATGTAAAACGTTTCTCCGTCAACAGTGAAGAATTAAGATTATTTTTAATCAGATCCCAGATGATAAAGTTACAGTAATCAGACCGTTATGAAGGAAAGTGTGTGCCAGATATTGGCGTATACACTGTCCGCTCTCGACAGTTATAATGAAAGGCATTACGAAAGTCCTATCAGTCATCTACGTTAACTTGAGACTTTTCCAAATCCATTCAATACAGCCAATTCTTAAAACGTATCAAGTCCTTTCTGTGTATTGGATTTAAATGAGTTAATTTGTTTAGCTGTTTATTTGCTAGTTTAACATTGAGTCCCCATAGTTAAGTTATCAGTAAAACAGGAAATAAACCGATAAGTGGACTGACATTAAATGTGGCATATTTACAATAACAGAAAAACGCTTAATGAACTGACATTAAATGTGGCATGTTTAGTGGATTGACATTAAATGTGGCATATTTACAATAACAGAAAAACGCTGAGTGGACTGACATTAAATGTGGCATATTTACAATAACAGAAAAATGCTTAATGAACTGACATTAAATGTGGCATGTTTACAATAACAGAAAAACGCTGAGTGGACTGACGTTACGTGTGACATGATAACAATGACAGAAAAACGCTTAGTGGACTCACATTTAGTGTGGCATGTTTACAATAATAGAAAAAAACTGTATTACATGTTTACATTGACAGAAAAACCCTTAGTGGACTGACATTAAATGTGGCATGATTACAATGACAGAAAAACCCTTAGTGGACTGACATTAAATGTGGCATGATTACAATGACAGAAAAACCCTTAGTGGACTGACATTAAATGTGGCATGATTACAATGACAGAAAAACCCTTAGTGGACTGACATTAAATGTGGCATGATTACAATGACAGAAAAACGCTTAGTGGACTGACGTTACGTGTGACATGATAACAATGACAGAAAAGCGCTTAGTGGACTCACATTTAGTGTGGCATGTTTACAATAACAAATAACCGCCTAGTGGACTGACCATTTGTGTGGTATTTTTTTACCAAAAAGAAAAAAGAGAAAACACTTAGTGGACTGACCCTAAGTGTGATATATCAACAATAACAAGAAAACACTTAGTACCACCAGTCACTTCGGAGCAAAGACCTTTGACACCAGTTTTTCAGAAACGAAAACCTATGACACTAGTTATTCAGGAACAAAGGCATATAACACCAGTTATTCAGGAACAAAGACCTATGACACTAGTTATTCAGGAACAAAGACCTATGACACTAGTTATTCAGGAACAAAGACCTATGACACCAGTTATTCAGGAACAAAGACCTATGACACCAGTTATTCAGGCAAAAAGACCTATGACACCAGTTACTTCGGAACAAAGACCTATGACACCAGCTACTTATGAATAAGTACCTGTGACACTAGTTATTCAGGAGCAAGCACATAAGTAGCGCTTGTCCAGTTATTCCACAAATCTTTATTCAATAGTCGTTCTACTGTTCTTGATAGATCAAATCAGGTGTCAGTATTTGTAATACTGTATAGATGGAGATTTAACGGGTGCAAATGTAAAAGACATTCATCCCCTACAAATTATCTGTACTATAAGACTATGATATTTTTTTTCAAAGAGCACTATCACAGACAATCCAAACTAAAAGGAAGTCTTCATTCCATGAAGATGAGTATATACTTGTAAATCAAACCGAAGACTATTTCGTATGTACATAGTGTGGATGAAATCATGAGAATGATAGATACACTTATAATACAGGTCTAGAGAGGTGCAGACTGCTGAAGTCTACGGGGAAATGATAGTCATCAACCCTCCCTCACCATTCCCCTCACCTCCCGCTCCCTCCCGCGCACCTTTATTTCCTTGTACAATATATACGTGTTCAATTTTCTTTAGCACGCCAGGAAGATCTGTTTAATCGATGTTGTGTTTTGAATGGAGATTTTGTAAGTGAACGTCATATCCATAATTCATGAGTGTCATATTGTTATGGTGTGTTTATACTGTCGGGGAGATAAATTTTAAAGACATCGTTTTTAATTTGAGTTAATTTCCAATAAGTTTAGGATGTAATCTGACCTATGTGTCAGATATCAGATAAATAGTGGAAGACATTCATTGCTTTTATGAATATTCCGACATAATCAAGCACTATATTCTTACCACTGTCATACATGTCAGTTTATATATGATTAAACCGCCCGGGTTTCTCAGTCTTAAAAGGGATTTCTTTTAAAACAAGACCAGGCGCATTTTCGTGATTATGTATTCATTTACCTGTGATTTAAATTAAAATGATAATATCGCTGATTTGCTCGACAACAAACAACAACAAACAAAGTGTAAATCACTTTCTGACTGTGTTAATTTCAATGACAATATATAAATCGATTTATTTAAATTTTGGAAATATTTGTTCCATTACTACTTAAAAATGGAACATTGGCTAGTGTAAAGTAAGGAAGGGACTAGTAATGCAAGCTATATTCTTTCTAGAATTTTCCACATTTCTGATGTCACACGATAATGTCTGCACTTTATATCTTTTACTCCATTCTGTGTGAGTTATGGGTAAAAAAAAAACAAAAAACGAAACAGTTCTTTGCCACAATGCGATAATATCATTTTTTATAATCAAACTTTCACAGTGACGAAATGATTTGTTACTTAACAAGCAATATTTAGTACATGTTTGTTCTGTAAACAAAATCCTCTGTGCTGTATTAGACCTTCGACGCATGTTTTCCATATAGAACAATAGATAAAAATGTTATTGTTTGGATATAAGAAATTTCTCCATTTTACCCAATTCAGTCTACAGTCTTCTTCACCTTGACAAGATGGCATTGCCATTCTTCGTGAAGAATTCTTCGACATACATAAAGTTCCATCCTTTTTTATACTTTGGTAAGTTTTGCTAAGATGGTTTTTTTTTTTTTCTCGTATATTTTTGACTGTTTACATAGTGTAAGTGCTATACATCAATGTGATCAGTATTTACTCCCCTTCCTCCAAATGCTTCCAGTTTTTTTCACACCTTATACGAGTTATTTCCCTTCCTTAACAAAAAACCCGAACTGCTGGATCAGAACTGCTTGATGTTTAGAGACTATAGCGAGACTTCAACCAGGGTAAGATGTTACAGTATACATTTGAATAAATACAGACTTACATTTGGAAACGTAATACAGCATGTGTTTTATATCGTGTTTCATGTTACAGATTTAAGTATGTTGTTATCCATTCAGAGATATTAGACCACTCTGGCGGTAAAGTGTATCGGGTTGAAGTATATCTTATCAGGTGTCCCGACAGCTGTTGTCACATTGGGGCCGTGTGCATGCAAAACAATGTTGCATAGATGGCTGAATAATATTTTCATTAAATAATATAACAAAGTAAATACATCCATCCACCCGTTCAATCATCTCTACACACATCGATATGTTTGTAAAATCATTTCTGAAAATACATATGCATAAAGTAAATAAGATATCTTAAACACGTCAGTTTTCATTTCACATAGGATTTTTATCAAACGAGTATAAGAGGTTTTTAGTTTTGCGCGCCTTGGAAAGAGAGAAAAAAAATCGACGCGACTTTATGCAAATCCATCTTAAATGAAGACAGATTTTAAATCCTTTTAATAACCTAGCACAGAAAAATTACACGTTGACAAGTTTTTTTAAGTCACAATGTGAAGGACAAAATCAAACGGAGGCAATAATTTTGTTTCGCCATTTTTAATTACTAGTAATAATGTAACATGATTATCAGTGTTATGATATTACAAAGAATAAATGATCTAGGACCTAACGCTGTATTTACAGGTGGATATTTTGTAAAAACCTATAAAACGACAAAATTTACAACATTTTCAGATATCTTTGTTAACGACAAGAGAAATACAGGTGAAGTGCAACCTTTACAACACATACATACAAAACAATAAGTAGCTGCTCGAAAAGTAATAGTGTACTACATATAATAAATATTCTCCAATTTTTGTGTGTGTTTTGAACAAACTTATTATTTGCTTATGACCTTTTAGCTGAATATTTCGTAAATATATGGGAAGATACGTTCGTCTCCAAATACGATGTATTATTAATAAAGAAATACATTTCATTTCCGGGTATCAAATGATGTGTCGGTCACACGTATACTTTTGGAAATCAGGAACACGACAGACACTTCTACATCAGCCGCTTACCTAGATCTAACCAACATGGACTACTTCAACCAATCTGTATGATAACCGTGATGATATCAATTTCCATATTGTGAATTTTCCATTTCCGGATAGCAACATACCTGCATCCTCAACCTATCTATGGTGTTTACATATCACAGTTTATTCGATATTCTAGGACATGTTCCTGTTAAACTTTTGTATTTTTTTTCTTTTTGTGCCTAATGCCTTTTGCTATATAGACAAATACAAAATAGATGTATGAATCAATACCAATGACTATGCGCCTTTAAAAAGAAAATCTGTGACCCTGAACATAATAAACGATAATGGTAATCATATCTAAAAAATAAAATCGACAACTATGAAATTAATCAAGACACATTTTACTACAACATTTATTACATATAATATATCTATATTGAGAGATTGTTTATGACTTTAATGGTAAAGAGTATAAATATGCTTATTATGATTTTTCTTTGTTAAGAGATCACTTTAACTACCGTCAGAACAGTGCTTTGTATTCTCAATA